TCTCGATGGAAAACAATGTAAGTATTCAATCAATATTTTATGTTGCTGTCAAATAGTTGCACTCTACTTACGTTATATATTCCGACTGTTTTTGCACTTATCGATCCCGCTTTCCGTGTGCGGGTTGTATTTTCAGCAGAACGATGTCCGGGTTTTCATACCCGAGGAATCGTGGTGTCCACTTGGGGACGAGTTAACGAGTCGGGAAGAGGAGTTTTTTGAATTGGTGGAGATGTGCGATCTGTCGGGAGTCGAAAAGTTCTTAGCCGACAATCGGGTGAATATTAACATGAAAAACTACCAAGGAATTACACCGTTGCACCTGGCCATAAAGAACGATTGCGAACCGCTAGTCGATTTGTTTTTACGTCAAAGAGGCAAGTTTCATAATATTATTGTTTACATTTAAACCTGTTGTACTACTAGGCACTTGTAGTTCATTCACGTTGAAACGAGTAGGGTGTAGTCAACGGGAAGGAGTTTTTCGTCTGATGACGAATCATGACGGTCATGCTCATCCATAAAATTTTAAATTCGTCTAGCCGGAGAAAAATCATAACAAACATATCATTCATAACCACTCAAAAAACATCTAAAAAAATTGACTATTCTTTCCTCCTTTTTACTTGTCTCATTGGGTAGATTCTATCATTTTTTATTCCATATCCTTCGTTCAATTATGTATTGAATTCTTCTAGCTTTCTTCTTATGCCATTTGCTTACACGCAAAAATAAGAATTAAATTATGGTATGGTTTAAAATCATATTATTCCGAGATAAAACAGCTTCAGTTGCTGTTATATTATCAAGTTTTAGTTATTCCGCGGTAATTCCAAATGTCTAACACACACACACACACGCGCGCGGCGTAAGACATTTATTCTAAAAATTCTTAAAATTCGCACGAACGAATCATATGGATATTACACCGAGATTTTCTATTTTTACCTGCAACGACTTAACGAATCGATGTGTTTTCCCGCAGACCTTCAGATCGGCGACTCGGTGCTGTTCGCCATAACAAACGACTCCCTTGGACTGTTGGTCAAGCTGTTGGACTACGCGGAGAACCGAATCGGTAGCAATGACGTGGCAAGTGTTTTCGACGAGTCCGAAGAGTTCCCGCCGTGTATGAAACCACTGCTGTTGGCTGCGCTGTGCGGCCGATACGAGACCGTTGACTTTTTGCTGAACCGCGGCCACAAGTTGCAGCGGCCGCACCCGCCGCAGTGCACGTGCGAGGAACGGTGCGTGAACATAGACAACGTGGTGGCAGACGGTATCGAGACGCTTAACACGTACCGGGCGCTCATCAGCCCCACGTACCTGTGCCGCACGTCGGCCGCCGACCCGATCTTGGCGTGCTTCAGGCTGCACGACGAGCTGTTGGAGCGAGGCAAGTACGAGCAGGTGTACGAGACCGTGTACACGTCCATGGCGATGCAGGTAAGCATTTATCGTGAGATTGTCGAAGATGGGTGGAATCCTTGAAAAATCAATAAGTACAAGAACTTTGGAGACAAGGGTTTTCACGTTTACTAAAATGCTGCACATATAGGTTGCATTACGTTCGTGTTGTACCAATTTATTTATTTATTTAATTTTTTTTGGTACGGGGCAGGTGAGACTGTTCGCGGTCAATATGATTGTGAACTGCAGAACGTCCGATGAAGTGAACGTGCTGCTGCAGAACCGGGACGGATGCGAGTTTAGAGGCCCGTTCCCATATCCGAGACTGATCACGGCCATAGACCACAAACAGAAGGAGTTTGTGGGACACATCAATGTGCAGCAACTGCTCGAGTCCGCTTGGATCGGCCACTGGATCGAGTGGAAGTCGTACTCGACATTCCGGAAGTGCGCGTACCTTGCGTGGCGGCTGCTCGTGCTGCCGTTGACAGTGCTTCTGGCCGTCCTGGCACCGTCCACGAGTATGAGCCGCGACAGCCGGTTGCCGATCAAGCGCATGTTCGATAGCGTGGCCGCGTACTCGGTGTTCCTGGTACTGTTGTTCGTACATTCGAACGCGGACAAGTTCGATGCGTGCCGCGGCATGCCGAACTCTGTGCCGTGGGCGCTCGTGGGTTTGTTCGTGGCCGGTCACGTGGTAGAAAAAATCAAGTTGCGGCTGCTGCAGGGCCCGCAACGATACTTCAGAGATTTATGGAACGTGTTCGACACGGTCGAGCTGACGTTGTTCACCGTGGCGTACGTGGCATGGGCCGTGGCCGGTTTCCAGTCCTATTGGGTAAACGATGACCTGGACCGTAAATACTGGCACTGGGCCGATCCGCAGCTGGTGGCCGAAGGCCTATTCGCCGTTGCCACGGTCATGGCGCACCTACGGCTGCTGTTCCTGTGTCAGCTTAACTATTACGTCGGCCCGATGCAGGTATCGCTGGGTAAGGTGCTTAACGATTTCGGCAGATTCACCACGTTCCTGGTCATCATCATGGTGGCCTTCACCTGCGGCCTGGGAACGTTGTACGGCCCGTACGCGGGCATGGTGCGCAAGGATCCGGAATCGGGAAAGGTGACGCGGCAGGAGGATTCATTCGTCAGCGTAGCCAACACGTTCAAGACGTTGTTCTGGGGAATTTTCTGTATGACGTCTCTGGAGGCTCCCAACGTGGTGGTGGGCAGTACCTCGGCCGGCCGTGATGACATGGACGTGCAGAGCCACGATTTCACGCAGCTAGTGGGTTACGGGCTGTTTGCCGCTTTCGAAGTGATGATGGTTATCGTCATGTTGAACATGCTCATCGCCAGTATGTCGGACACTTTCGAGCGGGTGGCCGACAACGCCGAGTACGAGTGGCTGTTCGGCCGCACCAAGGTGTACGTAAACTACATGTTGCTGGACGATCTGCCGCCACCGTTCAACTTGTTGCCCACCACGACCCAATTCATGCGCGTCATGCGACGTCTGTTCTCCAGCTCGGCTGCTTACAAGAGAATTCGCGATGACGTGGTGGACGACATCAACGATGTCCACCGCCGTCAGTCACAGTACCGTGCGCTTATGACCGAGCTGATCAAACGTTATTTCATACGCACTACGCAAATCGACCGATTCGAATGATTTATTACTCCGCAATTTCGTTTTTTCACGCAGTGTGATTTGTTTCAAATGTGTTTTCATATGTGTGTTCGAACGGACTAACGAAACATCATGTTTTTCTTGTGTTAAAATATTATTTCATGCACCGTATTACCTAGTTAGAAAATGGATTCAAAAATCTCTTCAGATCTATCAATTTTCGACTTTATCTGTAGTTTAATGCATTGATCGATAATTATTTAGGTACCTATTGAGTATCGATGACAACACTTTCCATTGATCAATTATTAATCAATATAAATATAATGTTAATGAATACGTTGAATAAAATAAATAATATTGTACCTATAACATCCTAAGTTCCTGGTGTTAATCGTATTATGTAATAATACAGTATACCTATAATACTTATGCTGTTTAGATCGATATTGGTACTGTTATAAATATTTATTTTATCTGCCAAAATCAAAATCAATGGCCCTTATATAAAATGGCTCGGTCGATGATCGCCACAATACCACTCGAGTCAATCCACTTCTGGCTGCAGTATCCGAGAATTCAGTAGTATAAACTTTGGGGTCGCACTTGTAACCGCTGAAAATATAACAGGGTGGCCAGAGAATTTTTTTGCGGCCCTAAAATATTATATGTACAATTTTAATAAAATAAAAATATATTTAATTTAAAAACTGAAAAACTTGCGATCTATCCCGCCATAGAACCCACCGGAGCGCCTTGTGACGGCCCCGCGAATGGAGTATCACCAACCTGCAGCCGAGACTAGAAAGCTGGAGCTCACAGAATTTCATTTTTATTTACTTAAAAAGTAGACATATTATCAAAAAAAGAAATCACAACGCGACTGTATACAAAAGTGGCAAAATAATAACATTTTATAACCTCCTTGTAGGGGTCGCCAATAATAGTGACGGACAATTATAAATACAAAACATAAGAAAAGACTCAGAAACGGATATAGATAACCTAGGTATTGGTAAAGAAAATTGAAAAAAAATAAATATAAACCAAGAACATTATAGATATAAAATCATATTATCACGGTACGGACGACATGTGTGTGCCACACCCGAGTCCGTCCGTATAGTTTGCCCATCGGTGATTTCGCCATGGGAGAGATTCAGGTGGACTCTTTTCCATGATAGGGAGGCAAAATATCTTCTCCACAACTTGTGTCCTTCGGTGATTAAAAATAATAAAATGAAAATGGATAGTTGTGTTCTCTTCAGCGATCGGGATCGGAGTGGCAACCTCGACCGAAACCAATACCTCGTCGCTTTCGGGGAGAAAAGATGCAATATTAATAATATAATAATAAATTAATTTATATTTTAAATTTAAATGTTTAAATTCATGCTGATTTATTGCAGCTTTATCATAATTATATTTTGTAATAAAATAATAAAATAAAACAATAATTAGTAATTAGGTAATATTAGTAAATTAATATATAAATAAATAGTTTATAAAAAGAAAAAATAAACAAATTAATGTGTAGCCTGAATTATTACCTCACCTACATTTAAAATATTATTAAAGTTTTTATTTATTTCATTGTGTATTTTTAACTCTTCTAAAACTGAATTAATGTAAATATTATTTTGGGTATTTAATA